ACTTTTCCTAGAGTGGAAGTCCAGAAATTATAAATAAGTAGTTCAGCTAAAGGACGTCATTACAGTCTGTTACTCGTGCAATAGTTTTAGAAAATCTCTATATCTTTTATTTGATCCCGATAAATTGCAGATTGGTTTTTTAGTTGAAATTGTCCGAAGATCGGTTATCCGTGAGCGGTTTTGAAGGTTACAGTGTCGCTCGAGCTACTCACTCGGTTTCCCATGGTACTTGGTATTTTGAAGTGGTTTTTACGGCGCAACCACCAGGTTCACATATAAGGATCGGTTGGAGCCAGGCTTTGGGTAGGTACTCGAAAGCCTTGGTTTATGAGTTCTCAAAATAGTTATAAGTCATTGAAAAAAGAAACTTTATTGATTCGGAATCATACTTTCAGCACCGATACAAGCATGTGTTGGCTATACACAACTATCTTATGCTTGGCGAAGTCATAAAGGCACAATATTTCACCAAGCAAAAGTAGGTGTTTCAAATTTCAAGTCTTGATTCACACATTTATTTGCTTTGAGTAAATGAAAAAGTTGATGAGGGAAGGAATTTTTCAACCTTCAAATTACTCGTATCAAATTTCAGGGTAGACACTACTCGGACGGTGGTTTTAAAGAAGGTGACGTCCTGGGATGTTTGATATCGCTACCACCTTGCCCGGCCGACAGGGAATATGATTTTACTTCTGTGGAAAATTTGCCATCTTCATCGATTTATTTGCCACCTTCCTACAAAAATTTGCCTTTAATCAATTTCAAACACAATTACTTTTATGAGGAAAAGGATGACGTATCTGCTGCACTAAAAAGTTTAAAACCAGCACCTGGAAGCTGGGTTCGTATTTCTATTAATTTGGTTTAATGAATTTTTAACAGTAGAATTAAGAGTACCTACTTATTATCTATTGCTGTTTCGATTGTCGTTTAATTAAAATTCATATATTTTAAGATATTGAGCTTTATTTCACGTCTTGATAGGTTCTGTTAATAAAACAAAAATTTAGCTACTACAGCTACGGGTTGAATAATAGATTAACATTTCCTTTCATAAGTTAAATTTATTGGAATTGGCTCTCACTATTACTTTCTTTTCCCAGTCACATTTTGTTAAGAAGTTTGAAGAGCTGAAATTTTCAGTTCTTTATGGCATGGCACCCGGTCATTTTTGATTTCAGTTTTATCAAGTTGAAAATAATTTGCTTCCGAATTTTTTGAAGAACCATTTTTTCCAGATTGAGTTCTACCGGAATGGCAAGAGTTGTGGAATTGCTTTCACGGATATTTATGCTGGTTTCTACTATCCTGCAGTCTCATTATTTCAAGGTGCTACAGTTCGATGCAATTTCGGTCCTTCATTTCGATATCCAGTACCGCCTGGAGCTCGTGGAATGTGTGAAAGAGTTGGTGAAATGTATATCGAGCAGACATTAGCAGACATTTTGTACTTGGTTGAAAACGAGGAGGAATTAACCGAAGAGGCTGCCAAATGTACTCGTAATCAGTGATAGTGATTTTAGTTTGCCTTCTATGTATGCGCTACCATTGTGCATCTTTTGTTTATTGAAGGTTCGAATGTTGTGTTTTTTCTTAATATTATCAAGTTTTCCAAATAAAATTTCCCATTTTAAGTATGTTAAAACTTCTGTTGCATTGACATAATGTGTTCTGATTAAATAAAAGAAATATCATTATCAATTTTTTCATTTGATTTTCTTTTTTTGTGCTCCAAACGACGCAACTCACATATAATTATTTGTTAGAACAATCAAAAGAAGAAGTGGAGAAAGATGGATAGAAAAAAAGAAAGGAATTGTAGATATTGTAAATGGACTGAATGGACATGTCTTATCACACACACATTATGCTACAATTATGAGTTGATTCGGCTACGGAGCCTTATTTGAGATAAAAGTTTTGGTGTTAATTGGGGTTTTGTCGAATTTAAACATTGTTCACTTCCAGGTGTTATCGCAACATGGATAATGGTGGTTGTAAATCTGACGTTCATATAGCTGAAATATCTGTTCTGAAGAAGTCATCTCCGATGCCAACAGATTCTACTATAATTAAAGGCTATGATTTCAATGAAGGAATTAATTATGATACTTTATTAGACTGTTACATGTCTACTGGTTTCCAGGCGTCACATTTTGCTCAAGCTGTACAGGTTGGTATGTAACCGGAAGCGTTCATGATGAGAAAGGAAGAGTAGTGCTAATCAGTAATAAGTTATGCAATATAATGCAAATAACTTATATGACTTATATACGCTGTGATTCTTTACCACATTGTTCCACATTGTATAATGTCATACTTCGCAGATATTTGATGAATATATCAGTTAAGGTATATTATATTGTGAATTTTACTTATTTCTTAAAAAAGATTTTATCTTCGCTCAGATAACCTGAAAAATTAACTAGGTTATCTGATTATCTGATATTTTATTTTTTTTTAATAAAATTAACTTTTTAGCAAATAAATACGATGTTAACGGTGCGCGAAGAACAGTTTGAAGGTGATCATACATTACCGTATCCGGAGGGGAAACAAAAAAGAGCATGCACAATATTCCTTGGTTATACAAGTAATCTAGTTACTTCAGGTGTTCGAGAAGTATGTTCCTTGGAGTTTTTTTTCTTCTATAATTTTTCCAAACTATAGTTTACATTACAGCCTTTGAAAAGGTCAGGTAGAATTCAAAGACTTCTTGGACATATTCAATACTTTAAAAGTGCTTTTGTTCAGAATCTTAAATACTTGATTTCGAGAACCTTTCGTTGTTAGATAATCATGTGGTGACTAAAATTACCCTCAATGTTTCTTTAACATTCTAAGCGTAATATATCAACCTAAGTGTTTCCACTCATACAGTATGCATGCTCAGTAACATGTGCTGCCCTGATTTGGACTTCATTTTAAGAGTATCCGATACTTAGTTGAACATGATTTGGTGGACTGCATTGTAACGAGTGCTGGTGGTGTCGAAGAAGACTTGATCAAATGTCTGGCACCTTCATATCTGGGTGCATTTGATCTTGATGGGAAGACTTTGCGTCATAATGGATTGAACAGGTTGTTTAGATTTAATTCACTATGAATAAATATGTGACAATTTTCAGCGTTTTTTTGATCTTTTTCTCTGATTTTCCATTTCTTCCTGGTGATTTCTAACTTCTAATTATCACCTGTCGATCATATTCTTCCCGTGAATTTTCTTAACCACTGACATTTTTTGTTTATTTTATGATGTGAATTTCCTTCTTAAATCAAATATTTATATGTAAAAATTGCTTTCAAGGATAATTTGTTAAATGACAGATGCGATTATTTAGATTTTGAAACATTCGTAATACTTCTTTATCAGTTCTTCTTTGAGAAATGAATGCCTTTTAAGGGAGAAAGTTAACGATAATCTAACTTTTTTGTATGCAACATGCAATTCTGCAAGAAAAAAGAAAATTTTTCATAACATAAATGTTCATGACGATTGCAGAGCTGGTAATATTATCATACCAAATGATAATTACTGTCAGTTTGAGGAATGGCTAATGCCTATCCTAGATAACTGTGAACTGGAACAAAAAATAATCATTTCTCATGGACTCCATCGAAACTTATCGATAGGCTTGGTGCTGAAATCAATGACAAACGATCAATCTGCTACTGGGCTCACCGAAATCGGATCCCTATTTTCAGTCCTGCATTAACTGATGGTTCAATTGGTGATATGCTGTATTTTCATTCATTCAGGAATGGTGGAATTAAGCTGGACATCGTAGAGGTTTGTCGGTCTTTAACGTTTGATTTTTCTATCCTTATATATATCTAACAAGTTATACTGAAAGAAAAAGTGGGATATACTTATATGATTAAATCCATTTCAACTAAATCTCAAGTCTTCTTCCTCCCGTCAGGATTTGCGTCATATTAACACGATGGCAGTACGATCATACCGTACCGGTGTAATACTTCTTGGTGGCGGTGTTATGAAACACCATATCAATAATGCTAATCTCATGCGAAATGGTTCTGATTACACTGTATATGTGAATACTGGCCAGGTCTTTTGAATTTTTGGATTTTATTCTGGAATTTCTAACTAATTTTTCCGACGAATTTACTGAAATTTTCCTCTTATCATGTTCCAAAATATTATGAACGTCTTGTTAATAAGACGGTTTTCGGATATTGATTTTATTTGATTTTTCTGTTCGGATTTTACTTTATCAGATTTATTGACCAAATTTTATTTAGGAATATGATGGCAGTGATTCGGGTGCTCGTCCGGATGAAGCCGTAAGTTGGGGTAAGATCAGGAGTGAGTGTAGACCGGTTAAGATATACGCTGATGCGACACTTGTTTTTCCACTGTTAGTCGCGAAGACGTTTGCTCGCCACGTACAGAAGAAGCAATTGAAACTGTAGAAAAAATGAGTTATCGTTTAGGTTCGCAGAGATTTTGGTTTGATTTTGTTTCAAAAATTTTAGATGATTCCATTTTTGTAGTGATATATATCACGTAGGTATTTGACTTATTTTGCGTAATTGTTAAAAAGTTTTTCTGAAATATTGTTTCTTATTCTGAACAGATCAATTTAATTATGTGTGACAACTGCAATGACTTCATATTCCTTGAATTTCTGCAATTTTTTGATTTTTTAAGATTATAATTATTTTGAGATCAAAATTAAAAGCTATTTTTTTATATGCTGTTGCTATTCACTTCATCATGGTTTTTTTTTTCATCTTAAAAACATTCCATTTTATTTTGTTCTATCCTGTAGTGTTTCTCTTTTTCCACTCCGCTCTTCCCACTGTTGTCCTTTCTTCCCTCTTAATTTTGCACTTTTATATTCCATTTCTATTTTAAAAATATTCAATTTTTATTCAAATAGTATTGACTTTTGAGCACCTTTTTTCTGAAGTTTGGAGTGCAACTACCAATTATCGATCAGATAAAAGATAACTTATCTCCTC